GTATGTGAAGTGGAAATGGAAGGTTATTTATAAGAGTATTCAATAACCCTCGACCCCTGTAAGGCTTTAGGAATAAACCTTTGCCCTTTTTACATGTTTTCTTATTAACATTTTTTACCATTTTTATTATATAAAAAATGTCTTTTATTCAACAAAAACACAAATTTAAAATAGTACATACTAAAGAAAATATACCAAAGAAGTTGGGTCTATTTCCTACCAATATTCGATGTGTTATTTGCGGTCCAAGTGGAAGTGGGAAGACGGTTGTAATTTATAACTTAATTGTAAGAAAGGAAGGATTAAAATTTACAAACTTATATTTAATATCCAAATCGTTAGAACAAGAAAAATATAAAAAAATAATTGAAATATTTAGTTTGTGTGATGAAGTGAAATTACACACGTTTACTGACTGTGAAATCACACCAAATGATGTAAAATCACAGTCAGTTGTTGTATTTGATGACATAAATAGTCCAAATATTACACAATTTTTCTCAATGGGTCGACATAAAAATATTAACTGTTTTTACTTGTGTCAATCTTACAGCAAAGTACACAAACATTTACGTGATAATGTAAATTTCCTAATATTATTCAAACAAGATGATTTAAATTTAAAACATGTATATCACAATCATGTTGGTAATGACTTTTCATTTGACCAATTTAAAAATCTCTGTCATCAATGTTGGGATAAAACTAAATATGGCTTTTTCGTAATAGACAAGGAAAGGTCAAAGAATAATGGCAAATATAGATTTATGTTTGACCAATTCTATCAAGAGGATGGTAAGGGTAAATAAATGAAAGATTTTTTTTAACATTTGCATTTATTATACATCTACACATTTTGAACATCGATTTTATAATGACCGAACGCAAGAGTATTGATGCCATCTTCTAGAATAAACCTCTTGTCATCGTCAAAGGATAGTACTTTTTTATTCATGGTTAAGGTTTGAAGATGATGATTTATAGATTTAATTCTTGTCACATTCTCATAGTAATCTTGCCCAGTTGCAAGGCAGTTCAAATAATGTTGATGTCTGAGGAGATGTTTAACAGTGGCACCATCAGCTCCTTTAGCTTTCTTCACCTCTAAAGCTTGCTTGTCTTCTTCATATAACCATTTTAGAGGAATGTAAGAATATAACTTTGGTCTTAAACCACAATATTCATACATAATATGACCACCTAATTCATCTTTAAACTTTCCAGTGACTTTTTTATTTTTATCAGAGTATAAGAAATGGTCTTTACTATATCCAGAGGTATCAAAATAGTGTAAGTCACATTCTATTTCCTCGTAAAAGTCCTCTGTAACTATAGCATACATTAATGAATCTGTATCTGTCATTAGAAATCTTTTGTTCTTAAATTTTGACATATAATTATAGTGGAAATCATACATTATTACTTTACTGATATCCAAAATGGTCATTCCTAAATATATTGGTTTATTAAACTTTACAACTAATTTATTTAAATGTATAGCATGTAAATTGTTATCAAACTTTTTGCTACAGTCAAACCTTGGATTAGTGACATATTTTGTTAATAGTGACTCATCCTTGAGATATATATCACGAAACTTGCGTTGATTCATGATTGTTCGACCAAAGAGACTATTATTTAACAATTTATAAAAGTCTTTTTCGAAATCATTTTTAGCCCATTTTCGTTTTTCAATATTAAAATTAATATAGGGCGCAAGCCATTTTGATTGTCTAAATTTTAAAATTCTGTGGTATTTTGTAACAATCAAACCCAATTCCTCATATTTTTGTAATGCTTTGTAATGTAAAATATATTTAGTTTTGTCATTTAAATTAGGTATTAATTTGCCATTCATTTTCTCTGGTGCTAATGGATAGTCATTATGTAAATCATGTAAGCTTTTATCATATTTTAAATCAACTTCTAAAATGTATCCAAACTCATCATATTGATTATTTTTGTAGTCTATCTCATTAGTCCAACTGAATCCATCCACAGGCAGTGGCTCGCACATTGCTGTAGAGTATAGTGAGTTACAATCTAAATATATTAAATAGACACTCTCTTGATTGGGATCATAGTGTTCACCCATATATCTATTATTTGCTTTAGCGTAACGTGTAGAAATCATACTGACTCCTCCTCTGATCGCACTTTCTATGAACAAATGCATGTCAACATCTTTGAATAATTGTAATTTTATTCCTGTCATTCTAAGACAGGCCTCCCATGTAAGTCCAGGAAGTGAATACATATGTACAGGGTCAAGTTTGTAATCTTTTAAACACAGGTCTCTAAATGTCTCAAACACATCAGCCAGTAGCAATACATCTGTTTTAAGATATAAATCATGATATTCTTGTAAATTATGTATATTAAAATGGGTCCATACATTTTTAGCATGTTCATATTCATTGGGAGAGATATGTTCTTTAGTTATAGAACTGTAAAATGTTTCAATTGGGGGTAGAGACTCTGCGAACTTATCTGGTCCCGTCATATATTCATAGGGATATACACCTTTACGTTGTAGTAGTGGATTTTGTATGAATCTAAATGTGTTCAAATTGGAAGCCAATTTATATAATGGAAGGGACAGAAAGTTGTATGAATCTAAAAATACTAAATCATCAACAGAGAATGATATATATTTTTCCATATCTTTAGCTATACAATTTAATTTACGTTTATTAAACTTTCCCAAATGTTGCATTATTATGTGACCATCATAATTTTTCAAGTTATGGAAGAATACTGGTATTTTCTTTGTTACTTTATAGTTTAAATTACAATCATTGTGGGCAGCTCCACGGTATTGTCCAGAGGAATGGCAATGATCTCTCACCCTATCAAAATATAGGGGCTTTTCACAAATGTGACAATGTGTTGAGTTTTGGAAAGATACCTCTTGCTCAGGGGTCATTTGAAGAGGAATATATATTGCCATTTGATTTTTAATATAATCATAAGCCTGAAATAATCTTTCAAAAAACACATCCATAACATTTGTGCCACTGTACAACTCTTCAGAAATAATTTTTGAATCTTTTACTACGACAAATGCAAATCCCGATGGAATATGTATATTAGAGTTTATAAAGCATTCAAAATCTGCATAAATTACATATGGGGCTTTAAGTTGATATTTATAGTTTTTAAATTGTAATGTATCTTGTTTAGACATTTCCACTCGTTGAGCATCAAAGCTTTTACAATATGTTACATGACGTTCTAATATATCATTAGTGTAAAAATGTTGTAAACACAACTTGCAAAAATGCTGCTTATGGCCATGTTTTGTAGAGTGGAACATTAACCTATCAAAATCACGAATTAAACAATAATGTGATTTACGACCTTCTTGTAATAATAATAAATCTATGTGAGTATTACTATTTAGTTTAGTCGTTCTTAATGGATATATAAATTTATCATATTCAACCCCAAATACATTAATACTTATATCATTCTGTGTTTCAAATTTATCTATATCAGATATTTTCACAGGATACTTTATGTTTGTCATATTCAACTGACTTTCATAGGGTACATAATTAGAAACCCTTTCAGCATTGTTTGCATACCTTGGATGTAAAGCTGCTAAAATCGACCAAAGAAAGCATCTATTGTCAGAATTCTTTATATTTAAAACAGCATGTTTTGATTGAATACTTTTTGGTGTGGGGATATATGACTTTGGAGTTAGGGGTTTATACTTGTAAACATGCAACTGCCAATATTTAGTATGGTCATATATCCATCCACTGCCTTGGGCTTGATATTTGTGTATGGAAGCATCAATCTTTGAAAGTGCATTTTCAATTTGAGGCTTTAAATCTCTCTTCTCAATAGTTAAGGTAGTAAGACTTCGAAAATCTGCTATACATTCTTTTTCATTAACTAATTTACCATTTTGATCCATTGAATATTTTATAAATTTGATTCTCCTAACTAAAGTCCATTTTATCGGTAGAGGACAAGACTTGAGATTATTTTCAAGTTCAGCTCTAATCGATTCACCCACAAATTTAATCATTGTGTATGGACATTTCATGCAAGAATTAACATGTCTTTTAAAATGTCCAACAACATTTTTCTTACAAAAATTACAAGTCTTGTGACTTTGTAATATATGCGATTTTAGAGTCATGTTATTTTCACAGATTAAATCACAAACTTTGCACACATTCATTTGATGAATTGCCTTGTAGTGACGAATCATATTACTTTTGGTAGAGAGCGACACGGAGCAGTGTTGACAGGTGGGCCTCATTTTTATATATAACAAAAAAAAATTTGTGCCACTTCTATTTATAGACTTTTTGAAAATTTCAAAATTTTGGAAATTTTATCAATTTTCAGCTAGAAATTAAAAATTTGTAAAAATTACTTCAACAGATCCAAGACTAGCAAGGAGCAAGCCCAAGTGAGTGACATTTTCACCACGTCACCACTAGAGGCAAGAAACAACCATGAGTCAGGAGCGCGCCCACGCCATGAGCCGAGTTCGCACATACATGATTTTGAAATAGAAATATAATATATCAACTGGAAAGGGGAATGGTAGATGTACTAGCAATTGTGCATGGGGCAGAGGGGAGTGGTGAGGGGGTGAGGGGGGGGGTTGGCCCAAAAACCTCGAACCACAAAAAACGGCCGCGACAACCTATACTACTATACATATACACATACATGGGTCAATAAATGATTTTTTTTTTATTTTTGCTTAATATCGAATATATTTATGGGGAATAACTAAGAAATAAGGTTTGACAATTTTTATAGGGATTTGCAGGCAAAGATCAGGATTTTAGATTTGGTGGCCAAAAATAATCCCCATAAGAATAACATGGGAAAAACGTGTCTAAAGTGAGGTAAAACCGGCAGTTCTCCACTACTGCAACTCTCTTACATTGATGGGCATAAAATTTATTTTTTAGGTTTAAAAATGATTTAGAGATTGCCAGCATTTAATGTACATTCGCACGTTTGTCCAGGTAAACCTATCCAAACACGTAGCCGTGGTCAACCACACATCTCATCCACACGTGATGCCCGACGGAACTGTCTTCAATCAAGCCATGAGTTTACGCAATTCCGTCCCTCACTACTCCATCGTCAAGTTCCCCCATCCAGGTGGGTAATACACATAAACTGACACAGTACAAGACCTATACCTCCAAATTAAAATAGAAGTCGGTGAAACATTATTCTACATTCCTTAGTTTATCAATATAAATTTCTGATTGCATGATTTCAATAATTACGAATGAACCTGTACCAAATTGTATAACAAAAACATGTAAATGTTTTATTTCTTTTCAAAAATGTACTAGTAATTCATTTAAAATTACGACGAAGACAGGTAGTCCATACTGTCATAGCTAGAGAGCGAACCAAAGAAATCCCCCAAAATGCTTAAGTGTAACAAATTATTTTTAAGTCTTTACGCATTGAACATATTTTTGTCACGTCCCTATTGGGCAAACGAGGTTTCAATAATTATTTAACCTAAAAATAATCTACCTTGAGATATTTTCTCGTTTAAGCCAAGTTATCCAATTTTCAAGTGTTTCAAACTTAACTATTTGCCTCTTTATTGAGACTCGCCCTTTAGTCACACTAAGTGGTGTGGCATATGTTCTGGCGTGCACCGTAACTACACGGAACTCCTAGCAGTAGAAGCCAGAACTTATGCTAACAGCAGCACTGCTGTTGGTCTATATTCTATGTCTATGCTATAGACTTCTATAGACTTGTATATACCATCATCATAATCAGGCTGCCAAACAACACTGAATAATTATGATTCCACAAGGTGAGGAACCCAAAGAGAGGCGCGGCAAGGAGATGTTCGAAGCAGCCGAGGTGGTGGCCAGTGTCAAAGCTCGATGGCCTCTACACCCCTCCTACATGCACACCTTCGGTCTGACTGACAACTTCTACGTCATCGTAGAGCAGCCTCTCACCATCTCTGTCCCCAATATGGTCAAGAGTCAACTACTGGGCCAACCAATGTGCTCAAGCTTCAGGTTTTACCCTGATAAACCGGTGAGATATAAGGTTCAAAGTTTATAGGTACAGTTTAGTAAAGTGCATGGTGGCGAACCTCTTTAAAATATTTTGTGCCAAAGCTGTCAGATATTGTATAAGAGACCTATTCATTACACATAAAGTGTGGTGAAGAACTCTTAAACAGTTCTATCGATATCTTCTCAAAGTTTTATATAATTTAATATATTAACTGACTTGTTAAGAACAGAAAAAACTACTGAATGCAAACTGTCATCTTTGGAGTGCCATTAGTGAAAACTATAGGAATCAGTAAACACTTAACATAATATGTTACGTACTACATTTGGACTGCTTAAAAGTTAGTTATTCTAAATTCATTGGTATTTTTTTTGCAAAAAACAGAACAATTTATATGAGGTGTTTTTTAGACTCTAATCCACGTCGTGAAAAAGGACTCAGGAAAGGTCTTCAAGACCTACTACGCAGAAGCGTTCTTTTATCTCCACATCGTAAACCAGTTCGAAAGTGAGAACCACCTTGTGTTGGACATTTGCTGTTACAGCGACCCCTCCATGTTGGACTGCATGTACTACGACGCGCTTAAGGTAATGCACTTTGGTCCAGTTGTAGAATAATAATTGCTCTTGTAAAAAAAATCAAATCGCTCTTAACTTCTATTATATGTATTTATACAATTGGTACAAAAGAGTAGATAAAAAATAAAAATTGGTACAAAAGTAAAAGGCAGGGCCTGTAACGAAATACAATTTTTTACTTTGTCTGAATAATACTCTGATGACCAGAACACACGTGAAGATAAAATTACTCTTTCAATAAATTAAAAACACACCATAGACATCGGTAATACTTTGTTAACTTGTTTTAACAAGAAAATTATATGATTAGATACAAGAAGTCTATTGATTGGATTGAGACATATATGTGGGGTTGTTACTGTCAGTTGGCTTTTCAACCAAAGTCACACATTAAATTCCAACCCCCAAGCTAACAAGCAACCAGCAGCTTCTAGCCAGTAGCTTGTAGCTGGGTGCAGCTTCTAGCCATTAAAACTACAGACCTGAAGATAGGTTGGATACATATTCTAAGATTTTTCGTTTCTTATAACTATTCACGTATTTACAACAACCGTGTCCATATAAAACGAAACAATCAGGATTACTTATGATCAAATGTGTATGACATCACAGTATTATTCCAGGACATGAGTAAGAACCCAGACTACGCTCGTATGTTTCGAGGGCGACCTTTGCGATTCGTACTGCCTCTAGCTCCTCCAGTGGCAGACGAAAACACCAACCTAGTCATGTTGACTGGCTCAGTAGCAACGGCCTGGTGGAAGAATGGTAAAATAACAGTCAAACCAGAGCTGTTATGTAACCTAGGCTGTGAGACACCGAGGATCAACTACAGTCGCTATCTCGGCCGCTCCTACCGCTACTTCTATGCTATCTCCAGTGATGTTGACGCTGACAATCCTGGCACGGTAAGGTGCTTGAAGTTTTGATAACAGAAGTTTTAACCTTCATAGAACACCATTGGAAGAGGTATCTTCTGAGCTATACACCATTCACAAAATTTAGGCGATTTTAGGGGAAGAAATCTATCCCCTCCACGTCTTAATCCTGTAATTAAAACATAGCTCAACAGCTGAGATTTTTTCAACACGTCAATTAATCAGCTGCAACAACAATTAAGCAGAAACAAGTGGTGAAGGAACTTTCCCCTCAAATCTCCTAAATACTGTTAACGGACTATAGTAGAGGAATTTTAATGTATTAATGGTTAAGGGCTTTTAAGTGTAGGTTAGTTTTAATTTTAGACAATCTGCAGGAACTCATCTACTTAAAGTGAAACTGATTATTAAAACTTCAGGACCTCACCACCTATCATAGTCTCAGCACTTATAAGGTGATAATTACTTTCTTAAACATGATTTCTTTCTTCAAAGTCTTAACATACTTATTCCAGGTTTTCTCCTAGCCACTAACCTACCAGATCAATTACCTTCCTTTGTGTTAGGAAATATCAAGATCTATGAGTTATACACATTCGTTCATAGGGTTCAAGCCACATTGTTTAAAAAGCTTATGGGTAGGGGAGAAGAGTAAGAATCAATTAAAATGGGGAGATTTAATTTGTAATAGTATCACAATAAATTACAATCGAGTAGAAAGATATTTTAAATAATAAATTCTAGGCAATTTTCCTATCCTGAAAATATGGAATCTGTTTTACTATTATTGTAAATGAATGGGAAGTAACATTTTAGAAGGTTTTACTCATTAAAATTGACAATTAGTAGAAATGTCCATTATGAAAGTACAGTAACGTCAATGTACTCAATATCAAACATGTTCTGTGGTTTTCGTAAGATTAATTGAACATGTGAATTAATTTCAGCTCATTAAGGTTGACACGTACTCTCGGACCACTAAAACCTGGAGTGAACCCCGAGTATTTCCTAGTGAGCCGGTGTTCGTTCCTTCGCCAGACCCTCAGGTAAGTGTCCAACATATTATAGTCTGTAAGACGGAAGCTGTCTCCTGAATATCCGACCACTTGGGGCTTGCCCAATGGCTTAAGACCCTGGTTAGTCCAAATTATACGGTGATCTAGGTGACAGGTCCCATAACACATACTATATATCTACATATTCTATATACTAACAAAACTTTCAACTAGTGTACGTGTCCAGTTTTCTAAAAAAATCACCTGACTGACTACATTATTTAAATTTATAAAACAAACTTTGTCAATCGAACACCAAGTTTAATTAGGAATAAAATAAGAGTTTGTTCCTTGAATGAGTTATCAATATTGCCAGGCTTAATGTTTGCAACAGTTTATTCCTCTAGAACGAGCTTCATTTATTCACCCTGTTTTCAACGTAAGTGTGATGGATCCTTCAAATGAGTGGGTAAATCCTTCCGTAGGCGCTTCTACTTAGTGTAATGAACACATTTGCACATTTTGCTTTTGATATCACGGAAGGTTTTTTGGGAAAGGTTAAAAACAGATTAAACTTTTTGACGTGTGTTTACGCTATACATTGACTTTAAAGCACTATTACATTTAGTATCATATATTCGGGTGAATGTAAACATAAAATAGAAATAGTGAGAAATCTAAGATTTTGTTAACACTTATCTCCAAAAGTTTCATACTTCTCACTAAAAGGAAGAATTGTATCACAATTTCATTAATATGCATTAGAAACATTAAATTATTGGATAAAATGGAGATAACAGTTGCAATTTAGTATATGTGCAATAATGAAGTTTTTCTATCAGAAGAGTTAAAATCTTCGGAAAGAAAGCTGTTATATGTCTTGATTAAGGTCTATATTAGCCTACATAAATATTGGATACACCAAATATATCAGGTAGAGTAATGCACTGCTCAATATGCCCTATCTTTTAAATAAAAACGCTTGAAAGCGGATCTGGTAGGATGGCTGATTTCTACGATATTGGTCAACTTTAAATCAAAGTCCATCATAGTCTTTATCGCAAATAGCATGGCCTAAAATTGAATAGCCTTTGTCAGTAGAACCCCTTGTGGAGGGAGACTAAAGTACAATGTTTGACAAATTTTAAAAAGTTGCTAATACAGTAATTGATACGTCAAACCTCATTATGTTATGAACTTACCCCATCTAGCCTTTTAGTTAGGTATTGTGTAACGTAGTGCTAAAAGGTTCTCAATATTATGGTTATAAGTGTATATTGTTATAACCAAGCTAAATAGATTTAAAATATAATTTATATATTTCTATCCTCTATATATTTCATGTGTCTGTGCTATTAGTCTGCCATCACGTTCTTGGACGTTAAAATGTACAACAGTAATGTAACATAAAACTTTTTATAATAAAAAAAATGAGAAAGCACCCATTTGCAGGGATATAGAGGCCTATAGACAATCTCAAGTGGCTAAGTCACTCAAATTCTGCCGCCCTATTTAGCACCCTTTAAGGATAGGAGGTCAGTTTTCCACTTCAGGCCCCTCAGTAGTTTTTGTTGGTTCAAATCAAACGAATGGTCTCAGTATCAAAGCTACAATGGTTTCTCACTTCATCCATAAGTCATGTTTGGGTTAAATACGCCCAGTTACGTTGCCATCTCAAGCGGTAATGATGTACAAGGATATCTTGTTTTACCCTCTGTTTCTTTTGCTGTACAGACAGAGGACGACGGTGTGGTGTTGTCTGCTCTAGTCTGGGGCCGAGGGTTGGAACGCCAAGTGGGTCTCCTGGTCCTGGACGCAGGATCCTGGCAGGAGCTTGGCAGGACTGTGTTCCAGACTCCCTCAAGTGTGCCGAAGTGTCTCCATGGCTGGTTCGCTCCTGATATCTAGCTGTCTTCTATGTTCCTTCAATGTGATGATAAATATGTTCCTTCAATGTGATGATAAATAAATGTTTTAAGCTTTGTTTAATATTCCCAACTGAAACCTTTTAAATTATCAACTCGTAGTTTGTCAAGTATGTCTTACTGAAGAAGACTAAATCGAACTTCTATACTATTGTAAAATTAAGGTGGTGTCTGTCTGTCTGGGTGGCTGTCACGATTAAAATACTAAACCAATATAGCCAAAATTAACTACAAAGATGGTTAATGTATCTAGAAACGTAATAGGCCTATTCAATTCCTTGAGTTCCCCCAGGCTTCGCCCGACGGATGTCCAAAGTTTTGAGGTGAGGTTTTCTTAAGTGAATATTGATTGGTTTCTATGGCGGGATGAGTAAACTCATTATTTTTATCTTTGATTTGGCATTTCAATGAAAACAAGAAAACTGTCAAATGCTCATTTCACAATTTTAGTCAGATATTTAATACGCTTCATGTTTTTTCTTCTGGCAACTAATTTGAAGGACCGGCTGGGCGTAGAAACTTGGTAGAGGTGGCTAAGAAAAGTTCTTGGTCTGTAGATGAGCCATCAAAAGAGAAACGAGGTAAATTTCTTTGGGGCTTTGCCCCAGTGGACTTGATAATTCAATTTGACTCTTCCCATTTAATGAGAAAAAACACAGTCCTCCCATGTTTTCCATGTTCTAATGTAGGAAAAAACAGGATTTAGACTTTAAGAAATAAGACAGTTAATTTGAATTTTGTGAGGTTATGCTGATTTTTATGAAGAAAAGAAGTTTAGTGGGCAAAAGCATTTTTTTTTAACATTCCAAGAGGACAAAGTAACTGAACTTAATACTTTTAAATGAAATGGCAACCTTACAAAGTAGGTATTTGAAGCCGAACTGTTCGCTTAAAACTAAACTGCCATTTTAACAGCATCAATGTCTCTTAATCTACTGAAATGAAGAACGTACAGCTTAAAGGGAAATGAAGTGTGCACTATTAAACACAATTTCCTGTTATTTTTGACTGTTACATGAGGAAAACTGGTTGTCCCTATCCCGAAATGGAGAACGTACGGCGAGAAATTAAGTGTGCACTGTCAAACATAATTTTCTGTTATTAAGGAGCTGTTACGTTGGAGAAACGGGTCGTCTCTACCCTATCAACAACATTTATGTGGAGATATAATGGATAATAAAACTACCCTTCGCGCAGCAGGTTCACTTTCAATACATATAGTCAATGGAATTTTTTATAATGCTCGATATTACTGGTGAATAGTTACAATAGTAGAGATATAGAGAGGCGTGGAAGACAAAATTCACAGATATCGTTGTATCAGGTGGTGAGAAAGTGATATTGGTTAAACGGATGTTTGGAAACTCTGAAAACAAGTTACAATCGGAAACGTTACACTAACAAAGGATTGTTGTTTTCATTGTTTATAACCGTATGTTTGAGCATGTTGACATTTAGGTCCGAAGTCGATGTCAAACGGTTTGAGTTATTGTAACCTAGATTTTTATTGTTGCCTTACTTATATTCTAAATCAATAGGAAGAGAGATACTGAAACCAAGAATAATAAACAATCAATGCAAAAATATTTTCCCAAATTGTTCAGCTTAAAACTTAAGAATGAGATTTTTTGTATTTTTTCTAACCTGTACTTGCTATTTAATTAGTTAAGTTACATTATTTCCATCAATGTTTAAAACATCAGATAACTTTGAAAAGGGGATACATTTTTATACAGTAATTGAAAAGTAATAGACGTAGACGACCTGTCTATAGAACAACCGACGCACGACATCAAAAGTATCGTTTATAGACAATAGATTTTGGGATGTTGTAGACACACATTAAGAAACTGTCGGAATCTTTCATAAAGTTTGTAGTGCAGTGTTTATTACTTAATGTAAAATTATTCTACAGTGATAGGTAAGAGTTCTAATGTTTTCACAATAAAGAATAATCAAGGAAAATAAATATACATGTTGAGAGTATAAAAATATCTCTTAATAAACGTAGAAATACAATATTCCTTAAGATAGCGATAGTATCATTTTAATTAACATGTAAAGTATAATATATCCTACATTTGCCCACTCATTTGAAAACTATTCAGTTGAGCTTACTCCAAGCAAATTAGGTATTCCCTGAGCAAAATTTACGTCAACGTAATATAACAATATTAGGTTATTCGTTACGGTTGAGAACAATATAATCTCAGTTTTATGAACTCATCAGTCCGTCAAATAGTTGATAGGTTGAACACCCTATATATTGGGGGTAAACCATCCGTGAAGATCCTTAGGCACTGCAGAAGGGGTGGTGAAGACAGTCCTCCCCATCTCCTTCATTGTAGCAGCGTCCAGCACCACCAGCCCAACCTGGTTCTCTTTTCCTTCCCCCCAGAGTAGAGAATAGATTAGGACTCCATCATCTTCGTTCTACAATCAATAACTTTTGTCAGTTAAAGACAAGCAAAACTATCATATTTTTGAGGATGTATTTGTTGATTAATGTTGATGTTGTTAGCCTAGATTATCTTATATATTAAACAACTTTTGCAAAACTTATGACAGCTAGCCTGACTATACTAATGGACCGAATTACACGCGGTTGCCAAATGAAGATACTTTTCCTGTAGATGTGCCGAATACCTTTATAAACTAAAATAGGCTCAAAAGTAAGCACAGCAAATGAATTTAAAATGTAAAAAAAATACATGGGCCTTATGGCAACTTGCTGGTGACGAAATTAAACTAAATATAAACAGAAAATCGAAACAAATGGAAGAAATTCCAATCACATGTTTTATTTACAGCATGGGGTGAAAATAGAGAAGTTTGATACAGTAAATACATATTTTTGGCCGAGTTTTCAACCACGGGATGACCTCTAGGAAGGAACCACGATCTAGTTATCGTGGAAGAAACCAATATAAAAATTAACTTTTCTTATGTAGATTTAACATAGGACCAAAATGTTATGTTTATGACAGCAGCTAGCCTGACCATACTACTGGGCTGAATTGCACGCGGGTAGTACCAAAAGAAAGGTTATCGGTACTATATGTGCATTATGTTGCAATTATTTTATATACTAATTTGAACCACTATTTTTTTGTAGGAAAGATGGCATTAAAACGATAGTAAGAGAATGCATCTGAACCTTTATTATGTACCAACCAGCGAAATAAATCTAGCTGTAGTAAACTTTTTGTTTTACTTGGATTAGACTATTTTTCAATAATAGTCTTCTTATAAAAAAATCCCTTACGTTATTAATAATATTTAATATTTCTTGGTTTAGATTGTATTGTGACTGGAAAACAAATTTGTTTATTTAAACCAATGTAAATTAAAGAAACACGTGTGACTCTTCAAGGTCATATTGTAGAAGAATAATACATTTTAACAATTCAACAAACATGCTCAACGTACATACTAAAGAAATCTCACAAACAAAATACCGACGTTATATTATCTGCACTAAAATTTACCCAATTTACAAAAATATTTTTCTAAATGTCACAAAGCGAATAATGGAGGTTTACAACCACTTTTCCTTGTATTGAGCGAAATAAGACAAATTACTTTTGACATGATCGGGAAAAGATTAAAGAGAAATTTCTAATTACATAACGATCTAATTGGATAGGCCTTGCTTCATCGGATGAACACTCAGGCGTCAAAGTCTTTTGCTGATAATTAACGTTTTGAGTTTTCGCTTGAACTGATTCTGATTGAGATTGCGAATGTGTTGGCAGTTCTTTGAAGATGTCGTGTAAACTATCAAAGGGCGATTCTTGGAATCGTCTGTAATATTTGAATGATATGAGGCAATTTATCGGATGACATAATACACATAACTGCCGACGTACAACATAAATTGGTTTTCCTAAAGAACATTATGATATACGTGGGCGTACAATTTTTTTACCAATGTCTGGTAAAATACTCCTACAAAAATAGTTCAAACACAAACTACGCCCAAGCGTGTGGCCTTCTTTACCTTGTAGTAATAATTTTCTTTATAATTTACTTTGTAGAGGAGTATAACAATCAGCAAAATTTATATAATCCGTGTACTAAAGAGAAGATTAAACAAACATAGACATGTTGTTTCCTTTCACCAATTTATTACAATAAAAAATGCATTATCGTCAAAGAATAACAAGGAAATCAATTTCAAAGTATATCTCAAAATTATAGTTCTATTAAAGAAAAGAATCAAAAAGAATCAGTCAATAAATCCTGTGCTCAAATTAATTGTAATAGTTTAGGAATCCTTATATGTTAAAGTCATGATGACAAATAAAAAACGTTATAATTAAATACTATACCCAAATTGATGCAATTTCAAGTTTCTACGAATAAGTTAAGCGAAAAAGTCTTTGAACCTCACAAGCTTTGAGTTACATAACGACAAACCTTAATGTACTTAGAAATGTTATTTGGGTTTATTACTTTTTCTGTTTGAAATTACAGTAATTACCTACTCTAAACTTAGTAGAAGCTCTATAAACTGCAATTAATACATGAAACAGAATAAATACATTTTTGAAATGCTTCTTTTCTGAGCCTTTTCTTTTAAATCAGCAAACATTTTCTGAGAATCTCGCAGTTGCAATATTTCATCGTTAACTTAGTAAAATTAGATATTTATATTCAATTTTCAAAATAAATTAAATTAGATTTCGAAGAAGGCCATTGCTCCTGATCTTCCAACCGTGTTTAAGACATTTCCTTCGTTGAAATAAAAGACAATCATGACAAAGTCTATTTAGAATCTGTATTATGGGTTAATTGATTTAATTGAAATGCCTGTTCAATATAAAAGGCAGTTTGACGTTTGGTTGAATTAATGAGAACGCATGTCTATTAAAATATGTTACAAAAATATAGTATGTATGATGGAACCTGTATACTGACCAACCGTCTACCTGGGACTGGTCTGGACACTAGCGAGACCACAGGAAGACAGGAGACAGGTTCAATTATAAAGGCTATACCCTAGTCTTATGGGGAGCATGAGGAAGGACGAGAGGGGAAGAAAAAGAACCTTTGCACCTAACCTAAGCTAAGGAAGGGATCCGCAGCATAACTTCTTGAAATATTCACATTTCACACTATTACCTAAATCGTTTATTGAAAACATTAGTTAGGGTCTCTGTGATTCATATCCATGTCAAAACCCCAGCACTGTTCTATAAAAAACAATACTGCACGTTCATATCCACATTTGCTGTAGCCCGAACACCCTATGACTGGTGTGGCCCTGGGACTATTTTATGACACTTTCATGCCCCACCCGATAACGATTTATGAACCCACACTTCGTTGTCCCCTTAACATTTACCTTAGCGTCTGGTGAAGAGACAAAGACTGGCTCGCTGGGGAACACACCCCTCTCTTTCCATGTCTCGGCAGTACGACGGTCAGTATCTACCTTTACCAGCTGTCAACAGAATGAGGTCGATGAGGGAAATGCTTTGACTATTCACTGTCCCTAATTAGTATACTTCTGCATACGATACTTTAAACTGAAGTGATATTTTGCAAAATTAAAAGATTTGAAGATTAATTAATAACTGTGAACTTTTCCGTTTTTTTATTTGGTTGCTAAAGGGTTAAATTTTTACCAAAAAAATATGATTGAATAAATATATTTGATTTAAATAGGTGGCACTGATTTTATATCTGTACATCACCGAAATCAATTATGGCCAATCCTAGTTTAACAGGCAGTTTTTTCACAATAAGTGTGTTATCCAGGATTGTGTTAGTGACAAATATGCGATTGTTACTTTTTAATTTTGTTAATTTAACCGTCAATCATATTTGTGTCTAACACCTCATATAAGCTGGCACATTTTATGAAATTATGCAAATTCTTGTATATTATGTATATGTTATTGTAAAAAGGTGCTGTTCGTTGGAATAAATAAATACATAAATAAATATGAGACATCTAACTTCAAAATGTGTCAGTTTCACTGGTCACTGAACTTGCTACATATTCAATCAACTAAATATGATAACATGTGCTATTTGATGGATTATCCTTTGATTCACGTAGCTCTACGTGAACAGCAATTACACAACAGCAACAAAAATTTAGGTGAAAGATTTTGGCTTTACCCTCGTTAAAAAGTAGGCTACGTTTTTTCGTAAGTGCAGTGTTGCAGCCGTTAGTATCAGATATTTAAAGACTAATCCAGGATTTTAGTGGCAACCATTCCCTGAACTAGAATTACCATCGATTGTTAACAACAAACAACAGAGTTACACTCGGCTGACTTTTAAATTCCATGGGGGCTTTCAAAATTGTAATCTTAGCTAGGAAATTAATCCATTAAGGCATAATTACGCTTCCAGGGTTGTCAGCATCAACGTCACTAGAGATCCCATAGAAGTAACGATAGGGTCGACCAAGATGGCGGTCGTAGTTGATCCTAGGCATTTCACAGCCAATGGCGCACAACAGCTCCGGTTTAACAGTGATTGTTCCTTTCTCCCACCAGGCAGCAGCACTGGAGCCCTTCAGCTTCACAAGGTTTGTCTTGTCTGCCACCAGGGGTGCTAGTGGTAGGACAAACCTCAGCGGTCTTCCCCGGAACAATCTGGCATAGTCGGGGTTTTGGTTCATATTCTAAAATGGACAAGGATACAAAATAATTTAATCTATGAAAGTATATAGATATCCTAATACAGTCATTACTGTGTGTAAAACTGTATCCAATAGTCAATGGTAAAAGTTGAAGGTTAATAACATTAAAAGTTTTTCAGAAAGATTGTCCGAATTCTAAATATTACCTAAGTATGTGTCAGGATTCCTAAAGACCGTACCTTGGGTGTGTCGAAGTCGAAGATCAAACCGATAACCCAAATCGAGATGCTATCAAATAGGCTAGCAACACACCAATACTTTCTCAAACAACATGATAACAAACATAGAACTGTTCATACCTCCATTGCATCACGATAGAGAGCGTCTATCATATCCCCGTCACTGTAACAGCAGATGTCGATCACCAAATGGCCGTCTTGTTCAAACTGGTTGATAATATGGAAGAAGAAGAAAGGTTCACATGAGAACGTCTGGACATTGTGTCCAGTTGATCTGTCAACGACGTGAAACAATGTCTGTAAAATGTATACAATATTTGAGTATTATAGCGTATTGTGTTCCTAATACTAAGCCTGAAAGATGGGAGGAACATAAAAGGCGAGTTAGGTTGGCAGTCACTTGGATCAGTATCGGCTCATAAAACATCTTCATGACTGTCAACTGTTTAAAAATCGTCAAAGATGAAAGAGAAAGTCGTTTAAGTACTAGAGAAAGATCATCATAAGTATGGGTTGAATAATATAGTAAGTTCCTCGGTATCATTATCAATATCTTTTCATTATCAATATCTTTATCAACGGAGATGGGGACGCCACCTAGGTGCGTATATTAACCCAGATATGAGTGAGTGACGGGTGAGTGTGGAATGGAATGGATGATCCGTGTACATTGGCAAAGACCATTTATTTAAAGCCCAATAGCAAGGACAGCTCGGTCCAGTTCCGAACCATCAAAAAGCTACACACTTTTCTCAGGATGGAACTGGCGATCTTTTGATTATCAGGGGAGCACTATAACAACTCAGCTTCCAAGCTAATAGAAATGTTGTCATTACTGGTCCTGTTTTTCACGATTCTAGACTCTCTTACCTGTTCATCCGGAAAGAACTTGAAGCAGGCCGTCAGCTTCTCGTCTCCCTTGATCTGAGTCTTCACCATGCTTGGTACAGACATGGTGAGAGGCTGCTCTACGATGACGTAGAAGTTGTCAGTCAGACCGAAGGTGTGCATGTAGGAGGGGTGTAGAGGCCATCGAGCTTTGACACTTGCCACCACTTCGGCTGCTTCGAACATCTCCTTAGACCCTTTACCTGTACGACGGGTGAGTGTGGAATGGAATGGATGATCCGTGTACATTGGCAAAGACCATTTATTTAAAGCCCAATAGCAAGGACAGCTCGGTCCAGTTCCGAACCATCAAAAAGCTACACACTTTTCTCAGGATGGAACTGGCGATCTTTTGATTATCAGGGGAGCACTATAACAACTCAGCTTCCAAGCTAATAGAAATGTTGTCATTACTGGTCCTGTTTTTCACGATTCTAGACTCTCTTACCTGTTCATCCGGAAAGAACTTGAAGCAGGCCGTCAGCTTCTCGTCTCCCTTGATCTGAGTCTTCACCATGCTTGGTACAGACATGGTGAGAGGCTGCTCTACGATGACGTAGAAGTTGTCAGTCAGACCGAAGGTGTGCATGTAGGAGGGGTGTAGAGGCCATCGAGCTTTGACACTTGCCACCACTTCGGCTGCTTCGAACATCTCCTTAGACCCTTTACCTGTACGAAAGCAGATATTGGGTGGAAAATATTGTGGAAGTATTTTAAGCAGATATTGGGTGATATTATTTTAAATGAGCTCACTTGGTAAGCATGAAGATAGCTAGTGGTTAAAATTCTTTCAGAAAGGATTATTAATGGAGATATCCTTGTGGGTTCTGGGATAAATAACTATAATAACTATTGGAAACAACTATGGCCAGATGGGTGTCATACGTTAATTATCACGTTAGGAAAAGTGGTTCATTACGTGTACATTTTGGGTGTACATTTGGATCAACTTACTCACATTTCGTCAGTTTTCTCTTACTAAACATTCACTCATTTAGTTATCATAAAAGAAAATTATGACTAAGAAACAATATTATAGTTTTACCTGCAATTCTTCATGGGTCTGAAAGGTAAATTCACGAGTAGATTATAAATAGAGAACCCCAAACTTAATTACTTATGGAAAGTCAAATTTATGTCTTAAATGCCTTTGACTAGTTTTGTATTTAGTGTCTGGCACTTTGAGTTGATCTTTGCAAACACTACGTTCACAAAGAATTTTTAGTAGGTGTCAAAAATATAAGTTACATAAATTAAAAATATAAAAGTAAATAAACCTGGAGAGGCAGGAAACTTGACGATCGAGTATGAAGGTCCCAGAGCAGCCATCTTCATCACTTGGTTATAGACAGAGCCATCTTGGGTGACGTGAGGGTGTGAAGTGTGTGACATGATGGGCAAGTGCTTTGCCAAGTCCACCTGAAATATGTGACACCAATGGAACTATTTTACCTTTGCAGAAGTAGTGAAAGTAGATTCATCCAAACGCAAACAGTCGTTTAATTGAGAAGTTGAGTTCTTGAAGTACTACTTAATTAGAGATCAAGGGTTATCGGCTGGTTCCTGAGTTGTTTGGGAACATTTTGTCAAGAGGTCACTTGTTCTGGAAGTTCTATATCATAGTATTTTGGAAACAATATGATCTGATGATACTACAGATAGTGGGAAGGAACAAATTAATCTATTGTCTTCAAATTTGGACACTATCTGTATTTGTGTCGTAATTGAGAGTATATTATTTACTTTTTACAGTTTTACAAAGCTTGAGTGTTTAATCGGCTTAGTAATAATTACCTAACTCATTAGGGAAAGGTTTCACCAGTTTAAATAGTCAAAATTTTAAAAGCGAAGAAAAGATCTTTTTCTGTTTAAACCAATACTTCAATGTAGGTGATATTTAATTGACCCAAACAAGTCAAATAAAACATTTGCAATGCCCTTTACATTGTGTACGGTACGGTTTTGTTACATAAAGCCAGATGAAATTGAATTCAATGTTGTTTTCCAACAGTTTAATAAATGGTGTGTAGCAAAAACAGCTTAAACTTGAAACACATTTTGAAATTTGTTATTATTACGGGACATAAATGATAATTTCTTTGTTAAAATGAAGTGTCAGTTAACACACCAATAGTATCAAATGTAAATAATTAATAACCCAACAATAATTATCTTATGCTCGATAATGATCTAGAAACATGAATTCAAAATACGATCCGATAAATAAATATCAAATTAAATGATATTCCAAGTTTTCAACTCTATTACTGTAATGAGAAATGCGACCCTACCGAACAATTATCTTTTATAATCATTAAATACATAAAAACCATCAACACCTATTACAGTGTTTCAGGTGATGACAATTATTGCAAATAATAACATTTGTTGTAACTGGAAGCGCATTTAATAATGTAAATTGATTGAATAACACAGCATTTTACCAAGATAATGTGATATTTATGTTATGAAATCAGAGTGCACATGAAAACTTAATTATGGGAGTAAAAAAAATATCCAACGTTTAATGATGTGGTGGAGTTTTCCAGTTATTACAATAATTATTATGAAGCTACTGTTATTACGAAAAACATCGTAAAATTATAATTTATAAAAATCTCCAATTATATTTTTCCAGTTATGGCTGAAAAAGTTTTCTTTTATAGAAATGTGTATCTTGGACACTCCGTCCAATATGCAAATTAATTACGAGATTAGTTAATACAGTTTTTAAACACTTACATTTAATGTTTGAACTTAACATTAACATAAACATAAAAGGATTAACCTTCGTATTAAATTTATTCTCAATGGTTTTTAACCCCCCAGGTTTTTTTCATTTTTTTGAAGTTTCTATTTTCATGATGATTTTCCCATAAAACCCGTAAAATAACGGAAAGTAGAATTTTCTCCAACCCCCCCTCCCCCCCCAACGATTTGGATTAAAATTCTGTACCGTATATTATAGTCCTTTTAATTCTAAACAAAATCACTGTAAAAATAACGGTTCAAGAGGTTTTGTATTTTATGTGGTTTTCCGGTAAAACAAACGATAAAATATCAACCGGTTTTGGATTTAAGTTAAGTATTTTATCGTTCCCATAATTCTAAACAGAAATGTACAAATCATTACTGTAAAAACTATGGTTTAAGAGTTATTGTAACTTTTGTGATATTACCCATAAAATACCTTATTCTATAAATATGATAAGGTTCGTTGGCAAGCTAATGGGAGAAAGTATGTGATAGATTGCTGATACCATTTATTTTTAAAGCAAAACAACATGTGATAGATGGAACAGATAACACTTAATCAAACCTCAACCTTTACACGTACCTATAACATTTATGCTTCTAGGACTGATGCAAGCAGTGGCTAGTATAGTAAAGTGTACTTACTCTTTAAAGGGTCTCTGAAATTATACTCAATGTCGAACTTCGTGAACACATAAACAAATCGCTAAAGGAAATTACCCAAACCCTGATGTTGTTACTAATCATTAACTTTTTGTTAGGGATCTTCATTTATTAGTAGCCCAATGACAAATAACACGTTCGTAAATGGTCCCACCTGGGATCGAACCAGCTATATTCAGGTTCGAAGTCAAGCACTTTAACCAATACCATCAAACATGTTACCAGCATTTTAAAATTAGAAGATTTGATGCAGACATAGCCTTTAAATTATCATAGGTAAAGGAATAAAAGCTGTATCTGGTTGTATCATACTAAGTAGGTAGGCCATCTGATACGTACTCTATCAAGAGTTTCCAAAGAGTTAGGGTCCACCCTGTGAATTACTGGAGATTCTGTATAACAATACAAATGATCTCCGAAGGGATACACAGAGATCATGGCATTGTCAGAGAAATTGTCCCCAGGGTTGAACATGGCCATTATCCTGAAGAAAAAAAAACACAATTTCACTAGAAAACTTTTAATAGGCATATATAGAGACTTGTCAAAAACGTTTTCTTGTGACAATAAAATGCAATAGCTAATTTTAGAAGTTCACGAATTTAAGTTTTAAACCAGATAATTTATACAGACAATAATTAATAACATAAATAATTTTTCAATCCTCTATTACAAATTTGAAATTCACATTCTGATTTTAAAATAGTAAGATTCAAGTCGGCTGGGGTAGGAAGAATTATTAGAAGGATAGCTTGACGTTATGTTCATGTGGGTGTGTAGCTTCTTTGTATGAGGGTAATTTGATTCATGTGATTTCCAGGTGTTTTATTCATTTGTTTTTAATTTAGACCGTTTTTATTGTGATTATTCTATAAAACCCCCATTAAATAACTAAAAATTAAAATATTCTCAAATTGAGCCCGAACGATTTTTATTAAAACTTAGTATCTTATACTCCTTTTGGCAAAATTTGGTATCAGGGAATCGCTGTAAAAGTTATTGTTCAAAAGTTATTGTAACTATTGTGATTTACCCCATAAAAACCTATTAATTCACGGTAAAATAGGATTTAAAAAATCGTGTCCAATTTTTATTTAAACTGTGTGTATGATATAGTACTTTTAACTCAAAAATATATGGTACAATCCCTATTTATTGTTGTAAATTTACGATTTAAAAATTGCAACGATTGCGATTTTCCCAATAAAAGTTACTCACAACGTGTATCCATGTGCCATGATAAGGGTTGTTGACAAAACAACAGGAGAAAGTATGTGTAAGATTGCCAGTACCATTTATTTACCAGGAAATACATGATATACTGAGCTTACAGTAGCCCAGCAGTACTGGAAAAAATCGAGCATCTTGAACGTTATCCTCTAACCCACGAGAATAGAGGGTATTCAATAATATTGGTTTAGTTTTTCGTGAAAATAAAAATAATGTAAACCCCTTGGAGTGCGTAGTGATGTTTAAATAGCATATGTATAGTTAGTTCATGTCATGACTAATACCAGGAATGTTTTACTGTTAGTGTTTAGATTACCTGTGAAAAATCGTTTGACACGGGTCGGGGGCGACACCCGTTCCAAACTCGTTGCAGACGATACGTCCGGCGGCCATGTTCTTCCGGTAGGTGTTCGTCTGTAAGAACCGGCATTGGTAAGTAGCTTTACCATCTGCAATTCCAAACCTGGAATAACAATATTATTTCAAAATATGGATCCAATTACAGAAACATTCTGAGGAAATGGATGACTGGCTCAGATTAGGAATATCAAATGTGTCAATACACAACTTTTTTATGGTTTCCACCGTTGGCAGTTGTTTGCGTTTTCGATGAGAAATTGGCAAAACCTCTAGTCTTGGTTAGTTTTACGTCAATTTTTTGTTAGATATAATTATTAGTAAACAATGCAATGGGGTGGTAAGTTTTCCCAAACCAATATTTAATATTGAGGTTCGATAATGAAAATGTGAACACGACCATTAAACACTAACTTACTATGCTGCTTATACTTCTGATATTTAAGCAGTCTTATACTACTTAATACTTCTGAAAATTGATATAGGTTACCAAAAGACCAATGCACTAGAAATGCACATTATACACATAAACTGCATTATACACTTTATATTCTTTAAGAATAGCTTTAAAGCACAAATCCTCTTATATTATTTGGTACTTCTTCTTACCTAGCTAATTCCCAGCAAACTGGCTGAAATTGTGATATGGATATGTAAAATGAGCTACCCATAAACATTTTAATACGTTTTGTGTACTAAGTGTTCCAGTTCAAAAACTTCAAACTTAGGATTCTAAACAGAAATTACGGACTATTTATGGTATTATTAAGACATCTAACTTTGAAATAATGTCAGACTCTTTGACTAATACTTTTCTTTGATTTTTCTAGCTATCCGAACAACAAGTATGTCCGAGTTATATTGCTCGTTTATCTTGGTTTATTTGTTTGTTTTTGATCCATCTTTGTTTATAGATAATTCAGACGAAATCTAACCAAATAGTAGAACACACAAAAACAAATGAAACCGATCCAAATATACATTCCAAATCAAATAACAAACCTTATCGAGGCCATACAAGTTTTACCAACGACATGTTATCTTAGAACTCAAAACCAACAACAATAAAACTACAGTAAAGGTTGGACCAAAAGCGAGGGGTACAAAATAATGATGAACTTCATGATCAAACTTTTTATAAGATTTATAACAACGTGACCCAGTTTTTAAACTCATTGTACAGCTAATTGAAATGTCGAAGTAAACAGCAAACATCAAACTGTCGAACGGTTAATATTGAAGCAACGTTTAATCTGAAAGTTGTCATAAACACAAAATACAATGACCCATATTTATAATATCATGCAGTTTATTGTCCCACAATTCTTGAAAGACTATAAAATAATTTATTCAGTAAAATATATTAAAAGGCGAAGGTTTTCTTTAAATTTAATTATAGTTGACAATATAATATTTTATTTTATTCATATTATTTTTCTCCTAGATTGAAAATTTATGTTTCAGCCGTACATTAAGTGATTGTACGGCACTGAACATTAACCAGCGTTTGGCCTTTGGTCGGCATAGTTGGTCTGCAGTGACATCTTCGTAGCATCTTCCAACTGCTTCGTGGGATATCATTTGGCACCATTCAGCGTCTTTGGCACGTCGCCGGCATCTGACGTAGTACGGAGCTTATGATATTTGGCCGGCCAAATGCGTGTGAATGTTTCGTGTAAATAACTGTTTTGTGTGTATTTACTGTATGTGTGTGAACTTAATTTATTCATGACGATGACTGACAGGTGTTCTAAAATAAGAAGGTAGAAGATATTACATTGGGGACACACACATGCCTCGAAACTAGAATCGATACTAATTTAATTATAGAAGCACTTTGAGAATATGTAACTTACGTTATATTTACTTACGTTAAAGACAATAATTGGATTATTCAATCGTTCCTGGTTCTTGTGGATGACTGATCGATATCGGTCGCCGTAAATTGACTATATCGATTTTTTAGATGTATTTGCTGTTTTGTATGTAAATGTCTACAGTATAAGTGAAGATAAATCGAAAAGTGTTGGAGGACGTTCAAAATGATATTTGCATAGTAGTGCCAACACGTAAATAATAATTAAGAAGCTATTCTTTATATTCAAAGGCCACACTTCAACACGTTTTGATATAATATAAATACAAACAATAATAATTTATGGACCGCTACAAAACTAGGCACCTTTTGGAAATATAAAAATCGTTTAAAATACCTTTAGTAAGCTCCATAACCGGAAAACTTTGTCGGTCATCGACTCGTAGTCCTGTATAAGGAATTTATAAATAAAAACTATTAAAAACGCATCCAAGGGTTCAAAACAAGTTTAATTTGGTCGTGTTTGATGAGGTCGACGCCGACGATTAGAAGACCGAAATAGACTTTCTGTTTACACAGGTTGCCGGATGAGTGCAACTGTTAAATGCCCGGTTTTGGGAGCTGCCACCAACGCCAACTATTGATTTTTCATTGCTACATGAACTGTTAAAGAGAAGTTTTTGCAAACTTCTCCACACTCTGGCCAAAGAAAACGTGTTTAAATGTTAAATAAATCACATAACAGAGTTTAAAATATGAAAAAAATCTTTCAATGTTAAACTGTTACATCTAATTTTATTAAGCCTTTGTTGGTACACATTTTAATTTACAACGATATAAGCTACTCACCTTTGTACCATAGCAGGACCATCAAACCAATGTTGATACTTGTCCTCTCCAATCTGGCTAAGGCCAGGACCGTTGCGGAGTAGAGTGCCGTTCAACCATTCCGGGATGTTTCCTGAAATTGAGAAACAATTACTTTCAATTTTATCAACTATTTAAGATGGGAAGGCCAATATGTGCGTATTTTAACCCAAATATGAGTGAAGGATGAGTGTAGGATGAGTGGTGTGATTTTGAAGTCTTGTTAGTGACTAAGGCCGACATGTTCCTTAGACACAGCTGTTAATAGCCCATACAGCCAATAGCATCTAAGGGACCTACAGTTTATAGTGCAAGAGAACGACTTTTTTCCTTGTAATTAACGAATTGGTCAACTATCAGGATAGTTCTGCGGATAGTCGTAGTACTCACTAGTCCGGACGTTAATCCACACCAGGGAGCATCACATCCACAGTGCATGTCTATAAATATTCACAATTCGTGACCTCCTAATAGCTGGATTACAGGACGACGCCACCGTTCCGGTCTTTTATTAGCATTATAGTTAACATACATATTGTAAAAACGTGAGCTTAAATACAAAGGATGAATACGCTCTATCTTTGAAGCCAGAAAATAAAATAAAATTTTTTTGTCATGTTGGTACTCTTAAACTGGTTCAGAAACCTAATTGAGTCTATGCAAGTATTTTAAATCAAAGAGGTCACCCTTAACTTAGTAAGATGATTCTGTAGAAGGATTGTATTTTTGTACTATGGTTTATGACAACTGTTTTATTAATAAAAAAAAAAATTAAAACCTTGAGTTGTTAATATCAAATTTATATCTGCTTAGTCCTACATAGTAGGAGGGTTATTTGCCAACCCAATATAAAAGTGTTTGTACGTACTTTAAAGATTACTATGGGAATCCCTTTTACCCAGGGCTATAAGGTGAAGCCATTATGTAGCTTAATACACAGCAAATGTTTAATTAGTTGATGTAAAATCAAAACGAAATATTTAAACCACACCTTTTAGGTTACCGGTACTATTTTATTTTGAAAACTATTTACATCTTACTACAAATTAGGTCTCCTGGGTATGACAACGTCACAGACAGAAACCTATCAGTATTGTACCCCGAAGACTATATTCCGTTCAAAAAATTAAGACGGTTTAAGAGGAAGCCATTCCACCAGGGGTGGAAAAATAGGTGGAGGGCCACCTAACCCTAACATTGAAACAACATCCAACAGCTGATCAGCTGATATATACATTAAGCTAAAAAGGTGCAGGGAACCTTCCCTTAAATCCCCCTAAATTTTGTAAACGGACTCTAGTTTGTAGTGTTAGTGTTAGTGACCGTGGCAAAATGCATAGGGAGACATAATCTTACCTACAAGAACTCATCTAACAACAACTAAGGTAAATCTAATATAATTTTAGTTCTCGAAACTGGGATTCCAATATCTTTAATGTTTTCAGCTAATGTTACTCCTATGGACCTGTGGTGACTCCTGCTAGAGGTTCCAGGACCTCCTGGTGGCAGGATCTCCAGAGGATGGAAGTGTCATTGTTGGGATACAGAGGCTCTCCTTCCCTCAGCTTCCTCGCCACCTCTTGGCTGTCTTCTTCGCCAGCTGTGTCCAGAGCATGCCTGATACCTTGCGGAAGACTCACATCCATAGGGCGACATATGCTGCAAAGAAAATTGAGAAATATCTATGAGTAATTTCATCACTAGTACCGAAAGTGGCATTTCCCGATGCTCGCTCAAGTTTCATGTGTGAGGCAAAGCCGAATACAGTAGCTACAAAATCCACGGGTGAAGCTAAGCCGGATATGCGGGAGTAAGTTTCGCGTACGAGGCGAAGCCGATGACGGGAATGATCGGAGCTAGTGCCAGGAAAATCACTTTTAGTACACGTGTTGTGAACGATACTGTATGCAATTATGCATACTTATGTTTTCAGTTAGATTGTCCAACAGTAAAAAGAGCTGATTAAAATAAATTATAAAAATAAATGTCAAGGAAATGTTAGTGCAAATGGGAAACTCATTGAGTCTTTAGCTGACCGTTTTCCCCCCTAAATTAGAGCTTGGGAAACAGCTATGTTTTTTAATGTCAGTTGTTATAAAAAAAGCCACATTCTGTACGGAGCTGTGAAAACGAGCTATTTCTGAATCCAAACATGATATGGATTGGACTATAGGCAATTATTTGAAGATCTCGTAAAACAGAATGATTACTAACACTGGGATTTGCATTTCATCGTCAACCCTTCAACAACTGACGAGCTTGTCCGTTGTCATGGAATGCTCTCTAGCAGACAAAGCTCAGTGTTTCACATATTTTTCTCAAATACTTTATTTTGTATTTTGACAGAAATATACAAAATCAAAAGTGTCTAAAATCTTTACTGTTAAGAACATTGGCGAAGTAAACATGTAATGGGAAGCTAAACATTCTTCAGTTTTAACCAAACGTATCTTATTGTCTGTTCTCATTGTCTCATGCTCTCAAGATTTCATGGTTCAGGCAAAATGTCTTCATACATGTACTATTCCATGTAATAATTATTCATAAGCAATGTATTCCTACAGTTAGGCCTACTATTGCGCGTCATTTATAAAAAAAAAATACTTGCTATTATTGGTGTTGTATTCCAATACATTTATCAACCTAATTAAACATTTTAGTTTTCATAACATTTATGGGACTTCAATTATAAAACTTCATGATTTTCCGTAAAATTATTAAAAATCAAGAATATTATCCATTGTATAGATATATATTATTCATAATTGCAATTCAATGCATCCGGTAGGTAATCCGGTTATTCTTGGGTGGTCCAGGAAATAACAATGCATTTCCTACTAGTGCATGGAAGGGGTTTATTCCCTTTCATAGGATAGCGATTTTTTTAGGCAGTCCTTGAAGATTATGTAGAAACCTTGTTTGACCTATAAATAACCAGCAATTGTTCCAACTGAACTATGATATCATTCACTGAACATCTTAACAACATTAATGTAACTCGGTTAATATCGAAATAGTTAACTTTTGTGAAATTATCTACACCTTTGGTTAAAATTTTATCCCAAATCGCACACGTTTCCTGTATATTCAATTGCAGCGTATGATAAAATTATAGCAAGCATTATTATAATTTACAATTATAATCCATAATGAACCTTATCATTCCAATAACATACGACAAACTAAAATATTCAATATTTCTTGTGTTTCTTGAGGTTGGCACAACTGTTGCCGGCGCATGCTCACTAGTCACTAGCGTAGCGTTAGCTCAGAATCAGTTTTCAGTTCTGTCTGTCAGATTTTGTCGTCTGCTATGTTGGAGTCAAGTCGCGTCTGTTATTCTGAAGAACTAAGTGATTCAGATCAACAATTCCGAACTGATCACATGACTAAATCGATTGCTAGTCTTACCTTTTGTATCTCAAACAAGATGTGAACGAAGATATGTTGCAGAGAATATCAACACTGAAAACTCGACAGAGGTTAGACATGACGCACGGACATCACACATGGGACTGTTAGCGCTAGCAGCGGCGAATCTAGAACTAACACTTGAGCTCAGTGAATCACTAAGATCGTGACCTTCAATGTTAAGTGTGTTTTGGTTCGCTTATCTTTTTTCACAAAATCTTGAGTATGAATTCACTTGTACTACCAGATGACAATTGATTATGGATGAAGACTAATGATCATATTATTTATCATCGACACGATGATTTCTGAAAAATACTATCTTATCAAACTCTCTCACAGATAATGTTAGGCTTAAGAATAGGTTTTGGTTTTAACAACTATTAACTGTCGCATATATACAAAAATATTGTTATGTGTCTCACATATCTAAACAATACTGTAATCGAATTCTTAAAAGACGTTTTGAAAAACCAAACTGAACTTACCTCTCAAAAAGTCATAATCGTACACATAACTTATTTTTGGTTCAATGTTAGGTAAAATCAGCGAAAACCAATTTTTTTTATTAAATCAATTTTACGGTGAATTAGTTCTCATTCGAGGAAATGTTTTTATACCCAATTATTTTCTCTGAATTAATTTAGAGATTTCACAACTTTTTCAAATACATTTTTGACGCTTGGAAGTTATAATGAACATTTCCCAGTAAATTAGGAGCTTTAAATTAGCCTACAATATTCTACTAAATACTTACAGATTGATGTTTATTAACTAAGGTGTTTTGTGCGTCGTCAAACAAAGAGCTTGGTAGTCGCTGCTCTGCAGTGTTTACCATTTGTCATAAATTAATACCACTTAAAACAATTGCAACTACAAATTTTCAATAAAACTACTAATCAATATGCCATACAGTAGTAAAATTGTTTACATTTACGTATTTATTCTTTCGAGGGGCATAAATAAAAAAAAAATTAAAATCCCATTTTTTGTATAAAAAAATATTTTGACTACTACGATACACTAAAACAGATCAAAATAGTACTTTTAATGAATTAATTAAACGAAACAATACTATGAATTTTTTACAATGAAATAATTGCTCAGTAAAATTTTTACGAAGGACTTCTAATATATTTAAAACTAGCAGAGTACCTGCCCTTCGTGCGGAGTTAACATATAAGTTTAAAATGTTTATTGCAATTATACTCAAGCTTTGCGTTTGCAATGAGGTAGGTCAAACTTTGATAAAATTGGACGGTATACTTATGATATTGGTATTACACATCTACCATAGCCATAATATTCTACCACTTCACCTAAAAAATAAAGAAAAATAAATTATTAGCCTACGAATCCTCAAAAAATCACAAATTATTCATGACATTAAAAACATAAACATAACTGCAAACAATCCTACTTTGACAGTTCCCATTGCGTATCACAGTTTTTTGTAGTTGCTTAGTTCAAATTAGCTGTTTACATAAATGAAAAAAAATATAGTGCTGCACCCTGTTGGTAAATCTTATAACTTTTAAATGCTTTTGTATATCATAAAACCAACCTTTTTAGTTGAAACAGCTGACTAAATTCTTTAATTCCCTTTAAATATGAATACTCATAAGGTTAACATGGGGAACTACAGAGCCACTGGGGCGTAGCCCGAATGGATTTTTGAGATTAGAATATGCCTATATGTTAACCGGGAATGTGAGCTATCATCATGTCAAATTTTAGCCCAATCCGTCCAGTAGTTTATGCGTGATTGAACTTCAAACAAACAAACAAACAAACACACAAACAAACTTTCACATTTATAATATTAGTAAGATAAGATTAAGGAAGTAAAATTGTTCATAAGACTTTATGAAGAATTCTTCATAAAACTTTTAATATAATTTTGAACTGACAGGCTACCTAACTTGTAATGGACAGGAATTGTAAAAATCAAGAACGTCTTTGAAAAAGGGTTGGAATAAAAGAGAAAACAAACTATCAACGTTTCAGTTTAACTTTCGAAACTAAACATTTCTAAGTAATCGTTCAGTTCAAACCTTTGTCCGGAAGTTTCTTGATTGAATACACATTGAGAAATCAATCACAATGCTGTTAAACAGTTGTGTTGCCTTTTCCCTGTAAATAAACCTCATCCATTTATAATATTAAATACAATTGTGGTTATTGGGTAATAACTCCTTCTTGATTTTTGCTTATCCTTGCCCAATTAATATCTATCTATTAACTTAAACAAATAAATTTATAATTCAAACACAAGACTTTATATATCCTCATAAGGACTTCATGAGGACTTAGCTTATGGTAATTTAAATCATAACATGTAAAGTAGTTTTCTTTCAAAGTTATTGTTCTTGTTATCGCATAGTGGTATAGCCTTCGTGTTTATTTTTTATTTATAACTTGCCATTTTTCCTGATAAATTTAATACTAATACCCCCGCCGCAGCAAACCTGCAGACTAAGCGAATTTCCGAATGTCTGATTGGATTTACACTAAAATGTCTACTTAAAAATTTAACATTTATTTCCTATTTAAATAGAATTATTTTAACAGGTACTTAGGTTTGCTGCATCAGGGAGGGTAAAACTTTTTTTGTAAAATGTAAATAGTTAGTAAGAAATAAAAACATTTTCCAAATTTGATCAAAATATGTTCATAAACAAGCAAACTACAACAGTTTACTCATTCTCCATAAGAATAACATGGGAATTTAAAATTTACATTTTTTTGGAATTTTCTCCGTAACCATTAGGCGCATAGTAACACTTCAATATACTAAATTATTTGTTTTTTTAAGCTCTACAAAATGGTTTGAAAAGATTTTGCAAAATTTTTTTTTTTTTTTTGGGTCAAAAATGGCAAAACCTATTTTTACCCCATAAAACCCCCCGTAAACCCCCGTTCCCATAGTCCGATCATGCTGGTTCGCGAACTCCTTCGAGTTTATCCCGCCTTACACCTTCAAACCAAATTTTATCAAAATCGGACAAAAATTACTCAAGTTATCGTGCGGATGGACACACACACACACACACACACACATATATATATATATATATATATATATATATATATATATATATATATATCTATATATAGATACATAAAAATTTGAACGAATGGTGTTTTTGGCCTCTGGGGACATCAAAATGAAAAAGTAAATCGGTCCCGGGCCTAGGTCTTACCATGAGACCTACGGTAATAGCTACTTCCCTATAGGGAAATTCGCTAAAACTAGGTTTAAGCATTAACCTCCTTAAAAATTCCAAAGAAATGTATTGAATACCAAGAATAAACATCCGTTATTTGCTTATCAAATATTCAAACTTACGTTTGACCGAGTTTCTATAGAATGCTAAGCCCATATATGCTAGCACAACAATGTTTGACAAGTACCAGTAGAGATTAGAGTTTGACCTTGAGTTCTGCAAGTAGACTTCTCATTAAAAAACTGGACCCTGTTATATGTTTCAAGTCTGGTCACGTTTAAAGTACACAAAATAAATGGAACTCACTTATATTAGTTATAATATTTGGTTATAGCATTGACTAATTGGATACTGATGTTGTATTTAATCAAAGTTTATAATAAGTTCTAGAAGATAATTCCATGGTTAGAATAGTGACTAAGCATTCCATTTAAAACCAAATTATGAGTATGAAGACTAACAGCTATAAAACAAGCTTGGTTAGAGCCACAGACAAGCTATGAATACATTATCAGGGCCACATAGAAACTAACTACGCTGTCTACATGTTTGTAACATCCACATTGTGTCACGTTCTATGTCAAAGGTAACGGTATTTTATCGAAGGGAATAGCTTAGTAAGTGTGCGAATTCCTAGAACTAAAATGCAACCGTCACGTTTGGATCTTCATGTAGGATGTGTGTAGCTACGAAGACATCCCATTTCTACTAAGTTGTCACCAGTCTTATAATAAAAATTGACGTAATTAAATTGAGTGGTGATTTTAATTCTATTTTTTTTTCAAGTATAAGTTATAAACTTTACAGCCAATAAAAATATAAAGTGAATGTTATTGTTAATTATAGCATATTTCAAAATCACATAAACCATTATCGTATAAAAACTTAGTGAGAAAATATAAATATTACAATATGCAATCTGAAGTGCAATTTGTATGTGGCTATTAAACGATGCTCTCTATGAATAAAATACAGGTGACAGTTAGTCTATAGATAAGACGTTTACTTCGTAATCCCACGTCCAATGCTAGTACTCAGTCATTCGCAACTATTTCGTATCCGTCCCACCTTCACATCCTATGACGCTAGGATTTAGTCCGGGGCTGTTTTACACATTACATCAGCCTAGTCCTAGAGGGTCGTGGCATTATCACATGGATAAGGTTTGTTGGGGATCGGCGGGAATTGAACCCTGGACCTCGGGTTCCAGAGCCCTGTGCTCTACCACTGGACCAGCTCGCTTTGCAGCATCGGAGTGACGTCCCACGTACAACAATGGAACTGATGCAATTCTTGCAATATCCTCATTTTGCTTTCCACTGTTACTGTGACATCAATATAATCATAAACACTTAAGCTTGTACTGCATTTGAAGTGCAATGTCTTACAAATATTTCAGTGGAAATGTAAGCTTGAATCACATAAAGACATAAGCAGAACTGTGTAATTCAATATTGTAGTATCACGTTAAAGTCAAGTAAATAACGTTTTCCTGGAAAAATAAAATTAGTACAAGTCTTTTATTGTAGTGACAAAAAATTTTATTTCAAACATTTTGATGAATATTAAGTAAAATCTCTTGGGATTTTGAGGTCAAAAAATAATTAATGTCATCGACATAGTTGTTGTTTTTAGTATTTAAATTTTCATTTCTTAAAAAAAAACTTAACCAAATAAAATCCCTTCAGCACAGAATGTTTCACAGGTAATTTACTAGACAAGGTTTGCCAGCTTTACTAAATAAACTATTCCAACACAATTATGTAATGCAAATACATATTTCTACGTGTTCTTTGATGGCACGCCATGTTTGATATCTACATCGGGCGTTAAAGCTAACTTATTACTGCCTTTGGTTTTTAAATATTTTTGCTCAAGTATGCTTTATTATTTCTATAAGATTTATAATTTTTCTTTTGGTGAC